CATTTAGAAAATGCAGATAAGTGAATAGCGCAGGAATAGTAGTGTAGGACATGTAGACTGTCTCTCTCTCTTCCCCCCCCCACAAGCTACAAAAAAGAAATGAATTGTAATTAATCGATTTAATGTATCGTCAAAACAGCAAACTAACGCTAGAATAAAGAAATCAATTGTTACAATCGAACGTTATTTGAAAACAAATAATAATATCAGTGAGTCAAAAAAACCGTGATTAATTAATTATAAATAATTTTTTTTAAATTTTTCTAATTCAAAAATCGAAAATCGGGCTTCGAGGTCTGGTGGCCAGCCCCTTTGTGCTTCCGTATAAAAAATTCCAGGTCCCTGCGTGCGATAGATTTGGCTGGAGAGCTCGGTCAGACAGACAGACAGACACATTACACTTGCTTTTATTATTATAGATGTTCTGGTTAAATGTTTAAGTTTTTATGCTTATGGGTAATTTTTATGCTTATGGGCTGTATTAAGTTTTTATGCTTTTGGGTAATCTGCATGCAATAGTTGCAGATTTATTAACAATTTAAAACTTTTAAGTGGTGCTAAGCCTAACGGAGCCTCCATTTGTTTACATATGAAACTCTCAGTAGACTAATGAATTAAGTCATTTGGTGCACAAACTAAAATGTCTTTTTTGTGCGCCGAAAATTTTGTCTTCCTGCCTGTAGGCCGAATTGCTAGTTTTCCTGTAGAAACTCTTAAATTTTAATTGTAAGAAAAAAAAATTTAAAAACGTTTTAAACAGTATTTGGTGTCTTACATTTTTCCGTATTTTATAGTTTTTAAAGAATTTGTTTTGAGATTTTATGTATTTTTGCTTAGCGACGAAATGATTGAAAAGAACTGGATTGAATGAGAAATATATCTCTAATAAAATTCCAGGAAATTATTTTAAATGAAGTGAACCAAAAATATTTTTATAATTTAAGGTAGTCAAGTGGTGTCCACAATCAGATTAAAAAAAATATTTGACATATGTGCCAAAATATGTATAATAGTTCATATAATAAGCATATAATAGTATTTTTACTTCGAACGATACTATCAAATATTTGCAGTTGGTGCAACAATGTTTACAATTATTTACATGTATGTAATTGCGTGTATCTCTCCACCACCACAACCAGTTTGGGGTAATTTCTATTTAATGTAATTTTACTGTGTTTTGTGTGGTTTTAATTACCCGTTGGAAGTCATTTTTATTAAGGATTTGTAAAGTGGAATATTTATAGCTTTGAACTTTAGGGAAAGGAATTGAAGTATTCATTTGCTATCTTAAATACAAAATAATTGATATTAGAAAAATAATAGTTAAAGTTTTGCCAAATAAACAAAAAACAAAAACAGAAACGACAACAACAACATCACAAATAAACATGTTTTCCCCTTTTCTCACATTTTTTAGTAATATGTTAAGCAGCCTTCTTTAGTGTATTTCGTTAAATTATGTATTATCTACCTCAGGCGCTGGCAGCATTCTTTGGCTGCGGGTCAAATCACCAAAAATATATGTATTAAGAAGATGTTTTGAGTCAGTGGTATTTGCATTTTAAAAGTATTTTTTTACTAAACGGTATGCTTTAAACTTTAAACATAAAAATTATAATAAAAACAAACATAACTGACTTTTCGATATGAGCAGCTCCCCTGATGCTGAACTTGTGACGTTAATGTAGTAAAGCCTGGCGTATAATTAACTAGCCGTCTTAAGACGAGTACAAGCATCTGAATTTTTGGTAGTTGAGCTGCTGATGTTCTTACTTAAAATAATTTCGTGTGTGAAAATATTCGCTCGCATTTATAAGTTAAATCGAATGCCGACAAAATGGCAAAGTCGGATTTTTGAGTGATGAAAACTTCGTAGGAAGTGATGCCCAGCACGTTGATATTATTAAAAGATCAGAATCTTTTGATTTTTCTGAACCTTTCTACAGTGTCTTGAACTTCTCCATCTATAACACTGAAATTTTAAAATTAGTCATTTCTAAATTAAAATTGTCAACTTTGAGTGTGTTTTTCTCCCTCTTGTAAATTTTAATAAACACTGATAGAAGATCAAATTTGCCTAGTTTTTCTCTAAAATAAGTGAAATATAGAGTTTTCTGTAAAATATACGCCAGTCGGGGATTGGATTTTGCAGTTTTTTTGTAATATAGCACAGTCGAAGGCTGAATTGTGCACTTTTAAAAATTTAAAATTTTATCCTTTTGTAATAAAGCAGTGATTGGTTAAATATGAGCAAGAATGTGAAATAATATTAATTTGTATTATCCGTCAATCATATTCTATAGTAATTAATTCATTCAAATTTTTTTAATATTAAATTTCATGATCACTTTACTCACTAACATTTGTACATTGAATTTCCCTGTGATCAAATTTGATTAAATTTTCAGACATTGATCGTCATGCATTAAAAAAGGTGAATCCTACGTTCTAAATGCGTTTAGTTTTAAAATTCTTTAAATGAGAACATTTTTTAGGCAAAAAAAGTAGTAAGTGAACATATGTAGAAAGAAAACTAAGGTCTTCTTGTTGCTTTAGTAAAACAAAAGTGACAGAACAAAACTATCACTTCGCCTAAGCGAATGTAAAATTTTATGTAATTGAACAGCAGTAAAATTCCAGTAAAATCCCAGCAATTCAAAGACTTATTTATTCAGATGAGCTTTCGTGCATCGGTAGTGAATTATTTCATTCTTTTTCCTACTTATATAATGGCTAGTTTAAATAGGAAGCGTTGAGGAAAATAGTGAGGGAGAGTGAATGTATGAATGGGACTTGAAATTAGGTAAGTCAAATTTCATAAAACATTTTCCTTCCCTAAGAAATAAATAAATAAAATAAAATAAAAATGGCATGTTGCCAATATTTGCAGAAGTAAGCGAAGGCTTCGTGTTTATGTAATAAGAAAAGAAGTAGGATCCATTTCTTATCTGTATTTCTGCACCCGACATCGCGATTCACTATGTTATGGCTTTGACTTAATTCTAAATAGTAGTCTAACCTCCTAGATATTGTTAGTGAAAGCTGAGGCAAATATTCGTCCCGGATTTAATTAGCAGCATCAGAATACTAGATGAATACAAGAGAAATGAAATCAATTAAAAATTTGTTGTGCCTCATCTTGAGAACTAAAGTAACGAATGAAGTTTTACTTCCGTTTCTGGCCTGAATAACGGACAACAAGGAATTCAGTTATGCCAGCACACTGAGCCGGTATTCCTGAGGTTCGTGGTTCGATTCTCTGCGAAGGCGATTGCTAATTTTTTATCTTGTCTGCTTCCAAGAAATGTCTAATGTCTCTACAGTGGCGCCCGAACTAAAATGGTCGTGGATGATCTTCACACACAGGATTTGGCGATTGGTTCCCCTAAAACCCCCAGTCGGCCTTTAAAAGGGGAAGTATGTAAGGTATTTCTCCCGCCTTCCTAGCGTGCCTTCGTGGTGTAGTGGTCAGCAGACTGAGCCGATATTTCAGAGGTCCGTGGTTTGATTTGATTCCCGGCGAAGGCGTTGCTAATTTTTCATCTCTTCTGCCTCCAAAAATTACCTAATGTATCTACAACACGTTTGTATTATATCCTAGCACCTGGCTCGGTTATTTTTACAAACTGTTATTTAATATGCAAAGCAAACAGGAAACTCACAACTGGTAGAAATATCGCTCGTATCAGATCCAAACAGAGAAATTGGTTTATGGCCAGTTAGTTGGAAAAGCGAATCCTCACTCTCTTAAACGTAGATTCTTAATCCTATTTAAAAGTGCTCTTGTTTACATATTCTGGTCGAGTAGACGAAACAATAGGAGTACGGGACAGATTTCAATAATAGCAAAATTTGTTAACTAAAATAAACCGTACATAAGTAACGGTTTTTGACTTTATGATGCAAGAGTGCGAAAGTACTACATTTCTGGCGAAATGGTACTTCAGGTTTACAATTTTAATATTATTCTGGTGTCTTACAATTTTAATCTTACTCTGGTTTTGTTTAATGTTACATATGCTGCTCATACGAGCAGGAACATTAATGGATAAATTCAAGTACTCGTGTTTGCTCTCGATTAGTAATTCGGTGTTAAATTTTATGCAAATTAAAATAATATTAAAAAGTAATCTACTAATTCAAAAGTTTAAACTCAGAGAGAATAATGTTAAATTTTACAATAGGCAGGAAAGCAAAAAAATTTTTACTCCTCAAAAAGAGGGACCTATATCTGATCATCTTTATAAATCGGTAAAGTTTTATTCAAAACTGTAACATGAAATTGCTTTTTTGCCAAATCAAAAAGTAATATTTAATTTTATAAAAATTAATAGATAGATATTCAGTTATAGGGCTTATTATGAATGAAAATTAAATTCAGTTTTTTTTTAATTGAAATAAAACTGGGTTATATATTTAAGCAAATGAAAAGTAATTTCACTGCTTAAATTAGAAGAAAAATGTTTGTTTGCGCTTACGGGAATAAAAATATTTTTTAAATTGTATAATCTTTATTGAGTAAAACACAATAAACAAAAAACTAAATTCTTTCATTTGCGTTATTGTAAATATTTATTTGCCCGCAGGGGGATCCCAAATGTTATATTGTTTTTCAGATTGCATTTATCTTGATAGATAGCCGGGTATTTGGTATTCTGGTGCGTCAGAATTATTTCTGATGTGAGCGTATGACAAGCTTGCTGTATGATTAGAATGTAACCTGCCATAAATCGGAAGACATTCTAAATTAAATTTCCCATATGTCGGATAAAATTTTTCATTTTGGTAGTGGTGAAAAGCATTCTATTAAAAATATTTTTTTACTCAAACGAAATGCGAAAATAAAGTACGTTTATGAATGTAAACGCGATAGAAACAGGAAAAATACACTTCGCACTTTTATACAGGATAATTACTTGTGTAGTAACTATAAATCTTTTGATCCATAAAATGGTTGATGTCTTTTTGTCACTTAATTTTATTTTCAACTTCGGCAGGCTAGAAGATTAGGAAACTGAAAACAAATGACGCCACTTTTCGAGAAGACATTAGCCATTATCCAATCCAATCTGATCTCTCGAACGCCAGAAATCGAAGCCATTATAAAAGCCAGAGGCCTTACGGTCTTGCAGAAGAAAAGATTCTTGCTCCGAAAAGATCAGGCGGTTCGTTTTTTCTCCCAAGGCCAACGTCGGGCTCTCCAGAAAGCCAATTTCCGCGATGATGATGTGGAACGCGATTTAAAAGCCTTCATCGACTCGATGACCAGTGGTCCGATCGACGTATTGATCATTGCAGGGTTCGACGCCGTGTCCAGATGGCTGGAGCTTATTGGTCAGACTGACCCTTTTGGAGAGCAGACCAATTGTATTAGCGTTTTGTTCGGCGGTGGAACGTACGGCAGTCCTGATGTCCTAGCTGCCAGCAGAGAAATTCGATTTTTTTATCCGGAGACCATATTCGAAGCTGATTTTGGCCTCGGTACTGCCAGAGAGTACCTGTCGGATACGGTGAATCCTCTGCTCTTAAAAGGGCTTATTATGCTGTCTAAAGAAAAGCCGCAAATCCCTGTGTTGTGGCTTGCTCAGTGGTTGTTAGATAACAGACCACATGAGCATTAAAGCTTTTTACTTTTTTTTATTGATACATTTTTCTTGTTTTATTTCTGTGTCAGATTTAATTGGAAGCATGTTATGGACTCTTGTATGTGAAAGTAAAGATTTTCTGTTAATTAAATAAAGGTTTAAAATTATTGGTGCTTTAAATTATATTAATATATATATATATATATATATATATTTAAACAAATTTAAATTTAAATTTTAAAAAACACATATAAAAGTAAAAAAGCAAATTTAAAGCCAAAATATTTTTTTAAAAAAATGTGCAAACATATAAAAGATTTAATTCTCGAACTAATCTACAATATCATTTAAATTCAGAAGTATAAGCAAATCAAGTGCAAAAACAATCCATGAAAATAAATTCAATAATTTAGCAAATTAAAATTAATCCAAATAATTTTTTTAAAAATGCATAAGTGAATGACTGTTGAGCAGGCAGGAGACAGACTTATCAAGGGGAAGTTGCTTCCAAACCTAACTCTCCAATCATTCAATTCGTGTTTCGTCATTCATGTTCAATTTAATTAAATTCAATTTATTCTTATGAAACAATTATATATATATATATATATGTGTGTGTGTGTGTGTGTATAATCCTATAGTGGATTTGATTTCTAAATTTCTCGCAATTCTTTTACTACTAAATTTCTCATTTAAACATTTTCACTGCTTTTGGTTTGTGTAATTCTTTACCCATGTCTCTATGGATAACGAAACACGAATAATTAAAGAGTTAAGTTTGGAGGCAACTTCCCTTTGAAACGAAATGTCTCCTGCCTTCTCAACAATTATTCATTAAATGCAAATTAATTTAGTTAAATTTTTTTAAAAGTTTTTTAGTTGAAATTTTTGGGTTATATATTTTTTCATGTGTTTAGATACTTGTACTTAATTTACATATGCTTTCTGAATTTGAATGATACTGCAAACTAGTTTACAGCAATAATCATTATGAATGAGATAATGATTTTGTATTTGTCAAACTCGAATTTCATTCCTTGCAGCATTGGCGTAAGAGAGTTTATTTAATTTTTTTAACTTTACTAATTAGTTTCTTATGAGACAATATATTGTTACGAAATGTCCACCACGTTGTAAGATAGCTTCCCCTCAAAGCAGGTTTATGGTTGCCATAAAATGCCAACGAGGAGCAGGGTTGCCAGATTTAGCGCGGAATCGTCACATTTAGCGACATTAGGTGGCAAAACTGGCAATATGCCATAGAAGACAGATGGAGAAACTTCTGGAACGAATTCTTACCAGTTTGGCCCAGAATGTTCTCGAACGTAAGCCGAAATCTATATAATCCGTGCTTGCTCGCGGAGTCAGTCGGTCTGGTGAAAGTGTCTTCGCAGTCTATCGAGTTGATCGCGACTTAGTGCATCGTCGAGTTTTATCTTGAGAGTGTTGAGCTTCGAGAACGACCCAACCGAGTCGGGAGCTATACTCTAGTATTTATCTTCGAGTGGACCGCGGATTGTAGCGTCGAGAAACTCGAGAGTACGTAGAGTACCGAGAATGAATGAACCGAGTCGGGAGCTGTACTCTGGTGCTTTGCCGTTGAAGCTGTCTTCACCGTTATAGACTGATAGCCTGAAGGCTGTTTCGCTGATCGTTTCAGCGTGCTTATCGTAGTTTTCGACGACTGTAAACGTGTTTTTGGAGCTGTCCTCAGTAATACTGACTAAATAAATTGTGTCTGATTCTTCCTTAAGTGTTGTCGTCAGTCACTCCAAATCCACGAACCCGTATGGAACGCAACAACGTATATGTGTGTGTACATTAATATCACGTAAAATACTATTATTAAACTAGGTTTTGAATATTTTTCTTACTGAAGTTTCAAGGAAAATTTTCTTCTTAAAAATTTTATTTTCATTTGAATTACAAGATACTCGTTGCAATTATAAAATAATTTAAAACTTTTATTTGTGTAACATTTATCTTTCTTAAACAAATATATATTTTATAGGTGGAACTGGTAAAACAAAAAATGATAAAAGTTGAATACTGTAGGAGTCTTTTGTATACTGAAAGCTGTTTAGTATAAACTATGAGATTTTCCCGCTGTGTAGTATGTTCCGCTGAAATAAAAATTTTGCAAATACCTTATTTCTGCTTAAGTTTAGATTAAAAAATTGATGTAAAATGTTAATAAGAATATTGTTTTTTTTAAATGCAGAAAATAGTTCTTTTCTCCATCATGTGGTTTATTTCTGCGTGCAGTGCACTTTACGCTCCTCCCTGTCAGTCATGTAGCCTGAATTTGTTCAGATTGTGTCCATTGTTCTTACGTAATACGTTACGTTGGATATTGGGATCAAACCACACCGTTTTATAAAGATGTTCTGCAAATTAAATAAAAGTTTATTCACCTCTCATGTAACGTATTTATCGTCTGAAATTCCGCGTGACGTGAATGGGTTGCAGCATGGCATTTTGTCGGTAAAGTGAAGAATTTCTTTTTTTCTCCTTCTTTTTAACGAAAAATCACAGGTGGTTCTTCCTCGTTCATCTTCATGCGTCAGTTGAAAATTAAAATTTGGCTTGCTACTGCAGAAATATAGAGAAAGCGTTATTCTTTCGATGTTGCTGATTAAATTTAAGCAAAGGAAATAGTTTTAAAAACTAAGCACGTGAGTCTGTCTCTAATTGCAGCTTACTATTTGAAAGTTGATCCTTGCAGTGTGAAACTTCTGAAATATGCAAAGCAGCATGTTTAATTATGTATTTTTTTCCCTTATTTATTGTAGGAAGATATACACAGTAATTTCATAAAATTTTAACTTTTAAGTATTTTCTGTACTACATATTTCGCCGTCCACCGTAAAAGTTGGTAGATGTTCCTTCAGAATTGCTCAGTCACTCCGACGGTAAAAAGTTTTAAGTGCATTCAGAAATAATAATAAAATTTTCTCCTGTTTTTTTGATTTCCTCACCAAATAAATTCCCTTAAATCCGAATCTAGATAGTGTGGCTCCGTTCTTTAGTGTCTTTTATTGCGTCAGATTGCCGAACTCTACAGTCTTTCAATACTCGAGTATGTGTATCAGTGTAGCCAACTCCGCAACTTTGCTATTTTATAGAAGGCAAGCCCTAAATTTTAATAATTTTTCCAAAAGACAAAGTATAGAAAAAACACTTAATTTATATCCTTTATTAAAAAAAACTAACCAAGCTAATTGAGGATAGAATTGCGTAAAATCAAAGTGAAGGTCTTATGAGGGAGTTGTGACATCACGTTTATCAATTAATGGCGCTAAACTGCCCTGTTTTGATGAAAGGTTTCCCCCCCCTAAAGATCAAAGGAGCATTAGCCCAAAAGGGCTATTAGTCTAGAAACGGAATTTTGCGTTGGTTCACTATAAATGGTGTATCCCTTTTTAAATTGTTACCACTAAATATTATCACCCTGTATTATATTAAGAAATTAAATAATGAAGAATCTCAAAATCGTAAAAACAACCTTGTATTTAGCGTAAGTATGATGAAACACTCAATCGATTTCGAGGGCAGATAAAGGTCCCTCCTCATCAAGAGAAAGAAATACCTAGAAAAATGAAAAATAAAGGGGAAGGAGTCTCAGAAACACGTGGTCCTTATCAGCACTGCACGTAGTTATAACCGGATTTTTAATTAGAGTTACACTGGCCGCCTACTTTTACTGAGCCAGGTTATCTGATCAAACATGTAACACAAAGGACAAGAAAAATTAGCGAAGTTAAAAATAGGGAGCGAGGGGCAACTGCACCTTCACGCTCAAAATCTGAACACATTCGAAGTTCAGTTCTTAGATTTGATTTAATTTTCTATGATGCTTTTAGCAGATGGTACTTGGTTTTAACTAAATTATTCTACATTTTTTAGGAGATAATTCTTGGTTTTGGTTTAATTCTGATGCTACTTGGTTTTAATTAACTTCGATGTTAATCGTTTAATTAACTTCGATATTTCAATTAAAATTTAATTACTTTCCATTTAATTGCTTTAAAACTTTAGGAACTTGGTTTGCTCTAGGAATAATTTTTCTAGACTTTCAAATAACTAACTAAATGGTAACTTCAAATTTCACTACCTAATTACATACAAAATAAAAATACTAGCAAAAATCGAAAATAAAATTTATCGTGCTTATTTCTGCTGAGACATACTTTATTTTGGGTATTTTTGCTTATGGGCATGCACATGTTTTCGAAGTGGTTCAGTGCTCTCTCCCACTTTCTTTTTTATGTAATCACTAGTAATTCTTCAAACGAAAGTTAAATAGTTATTTGAAGGCCAGTTTTTTGAACTGAAGTTTCGCTAGCTTAACGTAAATATTTCCACATGCGATTACAGTCTTTCCTCTTACCAAGTGACAGACAAAGAAGTGGAATTTATACTCGTGGAAAAGTAAAATGTTTTAATTTTAATCTGATTAACTGAAACCTGTTCTAAGAAAATTTTATAAATTTTATGAAAAAAGGAAGTAATTAAAAAATGTACACTACTGTATTCTAACTGTATGTACTAATTATATGTTCCCCAAGCTGTTTAGAGAACTGGTTTTTAAAGAAAAAACTACTTATGCATACTCATACCTCATAGGAATATTTTCAGGTAGAAATTAGGAATCAAGTTTTCAAAAGTAAAAGCTTTGCCCCTGTTTTTACCAGATGCAATGAAATTACTTAGAGGAAGTAAAGGTCAAGAAATTGAAAGTAGTAAAAAAAAAGTCCTCCCTTCTTTTAGTATGTACTCATCAGCGTGATATTTGGTAATCTTTATAGGAAGGAGGGACTACGAGAAAACATTCGTTATCTAGTTGGCCAAAGGAAAGGGATCATCAGGAAAAATATCTGTTAAAAACAAGATCATTATTATTGCTAAATTATTACGTCTACCGCTATGAAGTGCATACTTCTTGAAGGAAGAGCCTGCGGCTTTACGGCAGTTTCAGTAGACGCCGCTTAATGTGATTACGGTAATGTTATCATTCGGATATTGTTATCGATTTGCCGAAGTCCTTTCTGTTTATATACGGAAGCATCAGAAATACATCGCTTATTGTGATCAATAATTCGACTAATATGATCACATTATTAAAGA